GGTGATTTAATTCTGTCAAATCTGCGAGTGACCTTACCGTCTTCCCTTTCACCCACTCAGTGGCTAACGAGCTGGAGGCGATCGCAGAACCACAGCCAAATGTTTTAAACCTGGCGTCCACAATCTTCCCCTTTTCATCCACTTGGATCTAGAAAAGAGACAAGAGCTAGGCAGTGACTCCCGGTGCCGTCCTTCCAAACCTAGGAAGCTGGGACTCACGTGGAGCTTACCAGGGCTCTCCCCAAGAGCTTTGGTCTTGCTGTCTACACTTCAATTTTTGGCATTTAATTGCTGAGCTTGCTGTTTCAAAGAGCTCAGTGATGAGAAGTTAAAATGCAGGAAATTACACCACAGCTATACAGGTCTAGCTGGTAAAGATCAGCTGACAAAAAATGCCCCCCACTCCCCTTTTTTCCAACTCTAGTCTGCTTTTTTGTTTTTTTTTAGGAGCCTGCTAACCAAAAGGTCGACAGTTTGAATCCATGAGCTGCTCCTTGGAAACTCTACGGGGCAGTTCTACTCTTCTATAGGGTTGCTATGAGTCGGAATTGGCTCAACAGCAACGGGTATAGGACAGTACGGGTAGCCTGCTTTTTGACCATGAAGTTCTATTTGAGGCAGTCTGCTCATGGCTGTCAGGGCCAGTCTGCCTCTTTAAACCTGGGAGAGCATGCACTACAGCTCTCTGGTTAATGCTTCTTTCCTAGGCACAAACTATACTTAGTGGGTCCTTCCTGCCTTGCTTCTGTTTCCCAAGATAAGCATGGAAACCTCTGGCTAGCGGCCCACACCGCATGATGAAGGAGACTGTGGATAAAGCTACAGTTTACTCAGTGCGTCAGCCACTACCTTCATGTTGCCTCCAATTTGGGGGGAGGTTTGATTTATTGTTTCTTGTCTCATTGGGGTTTGCTAGCTAAACGGTTGTGGTTTTCCTTTGATCAGTAAAATTTACAACACTTTTTACTTAGTGGAAGATGGAATTCAAGCTGTAGAGGGAGCAGAACTGTGAGATCAGTTCACTATTTCAGAAAGGGTCAGCAGAGTACAATAGCAGGAGAGCTCGGATTTAGTCCCTGCTCTAATCATTTCACATGGACTCATCCCATCTTACAGAAACAAAGATGGACACCTAACAAAACGCTCTATGTGCAAATGCTTCGTAAACTACGCAGCAGTGTATAAGCAAAGCTGTTGTTGTCAGCTGCTGCTGAGTGGGCTCCGACTTGTGTCGACCTTACGCATAACAGAATGAAGCACTGCCTCATCCTGTGCTATCTGCAAAGGGTTTACCCCCGCCACCGTGAAAGATGAAGGAATCCTGGCGTACCTGTAATTTCATTACATCACCACAAGCTGGAGCCCCCACCAATCCGGTTCCAACATTTTTAGATGTCTTGTCAAGGGACCCCACGTTTCTAGGATTTTCATAATGATCAACAACCTGAAATGAGAGGGGTAAAAGAAATCAAGATCACTCTTTTTTGGGATTGGGCTCCTCAACTTGATTGTAAGCTCCTCAAGGTCAGTGACTGAATCTTACCGACCCATGTTCTTGAAGCCTGGCGTAGGGCCTGCAACCAGAACCTGGCAGACAAGTGGCGAACACAAAAAGTCACCTGGGAGGAAGATCTACATTCATGTCAGTGAGAACCATTTGTTACCCAAAACCTTTCTGTATCTCCTCTCCAACCACCTTCAGACACCATTTGAGATCCTGGAGAAAAACCAGCTAGATCATGTCTTAGCCCCATAAGGTTTTTAGTCACAAAGCAAGTCATCAGATTTGGGCTCATACAGCAATTTTGTCATTCCCAAATAATGTCCATTTTCAAAAAAGTCCTAAAATAATTATGAAAGCATCCCCAGAGGCGTCAAGGTGACTCTTACAGAAAGAACAATGCTATGGAATGTGTCTGTCTATGTATGACATAAAAA